CTCGAAAGACCCATTCTATCAGCAGCCAAAAGACAGCTGCTGGTTAGCCTATCACATAATTTTAATACTGCTGCGTTTACCAACAAGTATTCGGAGATTGATATAAGAAAGTACATCAACCCGTTTCAAGGACACGTTTCTCCACTTTCTATTACCTATTTCTTCTAATTTGACATTGTTTGTCTGAGATATCCATATACTCACGACGACACTTAATCATATTATTGGCTTTCCAGATTGTATCTAAATATTTGAAAATAGATCCTTATAAGGTAATAAGGGCATTTTCTGTCACCAGGACATCGCCACTTAAAAGTGACGTATAATATTTGACAGATTTCGTAGCGCGGAAGTTAATTTGTTCGGAAAATATAAAGGTAAATATTTCTCTTTGTACTATTAGCTATATTTTTTATTAATTAGATTAAAAATAAATAAACCAAAACACATATATTCATAAAAGTAGAAAATTTAAAAAAGTAAATAATGTGCAAAAAATTAAAGAGCAAATACAGAGGCATTGTTTTGTGTATTAATATAACTAACTTGTCAATTAAATGACATTGTGTAACAAATAACTTTACCTTAGTGCCAACTAGCGACATCTGGTGAGCAGAAAATTATTAGCTCTCATTGGCGCGGGGTGTAGCGTATCCCTCTTATCCCTGAATCCGATGATTCCAATTTTTGATAGCTATCTCCACCGAAACTAACTTTCCAATTTTCATAAACCTATGTACAAATGATCTACGTAGTATGAAATGTGCATAGATTTATTTATTATGTCCTTAGCTACAGACAAAGTATGTACATGAATTTTCTATGTAAAAAGATAATATTAAGACTTTGATGTTTAATTGGAGCGTAGCCCTCTTAATCCTTACTTCAATGCAATAATTTTTTGTGTTTAATTTTATTCTATAATAAATTTTATTTTAATAAAACAACTCCGCCTTACATAAGTTTGCAACATGAACATATCTATCTATTTAACTGATCATCATGGTGTACCTATGCGTGAAGTTCCTCTACATGCCGTGATGACTATATTACCTAATGGTCAGAAATCACAGCCACTTGATTGACATTATATCGTTATATTTATTACGGTTTGGATTTGGTAAGGACTAGCAAGGGCCTTTGCGTCCACCGAAGTAGGAAACGTGTTATAATATTCGACAGCTATCACTGTCGTTAAAGTAACTAATATAATAATGATCATCATAATTCCCAGTCTTAAGTTATATTAAGATATAAAAGCTGTACTGTATAGATGAAAAATATACATAGTGGTATTTAAAAGAAGATAAGTATTATTGTTTAAAGGGAAAAAAACACACTGTCAATGTTAATCTACTCGATAAACAATGTTCAGTGCATCCGTACCACAAATTTGCTTAACTATATTTACGCTTTCCATTTTCAAGTAGACACATCCGGAAACTATAGACGTGACTACGTTTTTAAAGCTAGCGGTATATTATATTAAAATTATATTTATTTTAATATATTCGCATTAAAAGAACAAGTTACGGTCGTAAAACTATTTTGATTTATTGCCGTATTATTATGGAATGTCGTTATAACTAGATAAAAAATAATGGCGCCGCGATAAATATTCCGAAAATGCGCTAATAAATGTTCTATGTTTTATTTAATATTAATTATGTATATAATAGATTATTATTCGTCTTTTATTATAAATTATGATCATAACTTTATAGCTACATAAAAACTTCGAGCTGGAGTTTTCGAACGGATAATGCTGATGATATTATTTTATTCTATTTATAACATGAACATAATCTCAGCTTCTAACTTGTATCTCATCTTGCAACTTTTATTAATTTATTAACTTATTTGTGAGTCGTGTGGTGATGGCGTGAGAGAATTCATCACCGCATACCGTTTCGTCAGTGTTGTAAGAAGCAGCTTTAAAACCTCTTCCACATCTTACGTTACTGTGATCGTTACAACCTGTTAAAGTCCACTGCTGAACATAGGTCTCCACTATAGATTGCCTCATAGGGGGATTTTGCCATACTTGCCACGCTTGGCGAGCGGGCTGGCAACAGTAATCTTTTATGTTTAGTCGTTATTAGGAAAACTCTGCTGCCCATCTCCTGATTTGTTCCTCTCTGTCGCCTCTTACGATACAAACGGGATGATATGAGTTAGTGGATGTTCTTACAACGCCGCTACACGGTAAATAAACGGTCTCTTACGTAGCAGATATTCAAGCGACACGAGCCTATTAGGCAATAAGGGTACGAACCGCGACCTTGAAAACGTAGGATCGAATTCGACATTCTATTATTGTCATGAACTACTCTTAATCCAAAGCATTGCAAGCTAACTCTGAGAGGTTAACAGAAATATTAGTAATGTTAACAACATATGCTCGTTGTTTCTCTGCGTAATTTTTTTTGTATAAAATTGGGGTGACAAACCAGCACACAGTCCACCTGATGGTAAGTGGTTGCTGTAACCAATAGACATCTACATTTATCTTCGTTTGCGAATTAAAATGCAGATGTGTTGTCACCCGTGAGGACTAAGATAGAATGCCTCTTTTCCAGTAAAATAGGTCTCCGATTCTCTACACTCACCATACGAAACACGGCACCATTAAGCTGCTATTTTACGCTGGTATTTTGAGAGAGAGTGGTCCTACCTCGGTCGAGCCGACCCATTCGTGCTACAACTATACTATTAATATAGCTGCAGCATGGCTCTACCACATAAAAATTACTTCATAATAAAAGGATATTTACAACGGAACTAGAGTAACTGACGTAGCCCTACGGATCAGTAAGCTCAAGGTGCTAAGGGCCAGTATTAGCTCGAAGAAGCGCCATCCGATAGGAAGAAGGGTTATCGCGAGTAATTAAAAAAAATATCAAAAGACGTGACGATTACTAGCACAAAATTATAATAATAATCATCGGTTTGTATTAAAAAATAAAATATACATACCCAGACCGGCAATGTAAAGAAGCTCAAATATGCGAGATATCTGGTAATCCGCTAGCCAAGCGTAGCGATCATGCAAAATCGTACCTTATATGGGAAAGTCCATATCCAAACAAACACTGATCTCACTCATGAATTAGTCTGCATAATTATAACAGAAAATACTACTATTGCTTGAATCGTCTCAAAAAAGCAAAAACACGTAATGGTAATAACCTTAGGAAAACAGCAGATAATCTACATGAATGGCGTAATCATTACACAGATTATATACGGCTACGTGTACATAAATACTTATACATACTCAGAATATTTAATCAGTTCTTCTTTCTTAAGTGCGGCAAAGTTCGAGATCGCCAGTCTACGAGAATAACATCCTATACAATAAAGGTATCTATGCTATGGTATGCTATCGACCAAAAAATACCAAAGGTTGAAATTGTAGGAATATTATTAGGATTGCTTAAAATTCTACAACGGCGGATACATTTCTGCTGCAAATTCCTTTAGAAATAATAGAAAATGGTAGAAACCATTGGGCACATGTTTTCTCGTATGTAGATTACTTTACTCCAAATATTTTTCTAGAAAAGCGTAACAAAGCCTTTTAAAAATTTTATAATGTACAATGCACATGGTGCTGATATTCAAGAATTTTTGTTCTAATAAGGATTATTATAGCTATTCGTTGGTCTCATGATCAAATAACAGAGAATAATGAGTTAACTACACTTTCAACACAGACAGGAAGCCGGAAGCGAAGTAACACTCATCACTACTTGTGTAAAATAAGCTATAAAAATCAATGTTATAGCCTTTGTAGCTAATGTTGGTAGCTTTTGTCATTTCATCCTCTTAATCGTATTTTTGGCTTAATGTACTACAGGTACAATTACAGTTATTGTTAAAAAGAACTATATATATATATATATATATATATATATATATATATATATATATATATATATATATATATAATTTTTAGATTCATCTGCACCACCAAGTATGGTTCGACTTAACTTTTAACTATTATTTAAAAAAAAACGAAAATGAATTCTCATAAATGTCTCACTTATTAGATAAATATTTAAAGACATTTCCCTCTCGAAATACTAAAAAAATGTTAGATATTATCGCTGTTGTTATTGTCCCATTTCGTTCCGTCGATATCGTAGGAGACGACTATAAGAATTTTCACGAAGATCTCATCTGGCTTCCGGTAGATAGCGGTATAATCGCCTTATATATTATATATCAGACGAAAAATATTTCGACCGGTGACGAGGACCAACATCAATGGTGCGAGATGTCTGGTGTTGTGATCGTCAATCCGCTTGAAGTATGGCAGTTCAATTTGCTGATTCGCGGCAAGTCCTCCCTACGGCGGGAAAAGCCCAGTGGAATATTACGGGCTAATGAACAAAAAGAGGCTATATTCATTGGAGGTGTGGGCAAATATACTATATTTTTCTTTAAATCTTGCGCCCTGCTGATTAATGGACGAGGTTCTGGCTACCGACTGCTAGAATCCAAATATCCAAAAACGCTGAACCCAAACTTTACGTACTGGTTATGGGCAGCAGTATTAAAAGTTCGTGGTGTGTGTGTGCTATGTTATTGTTATTGTACTGGTTTCACTTGGATTACTTTATTATTTATTAATTTATTTTTCATATACCCCCTTTATCAGCCTTTCAAATCCACTACTTAATGCTTTTTAAGGCTAAATTTTGCGCCCTGTTCTCATTATTACTTATAAATAAGCGCAGAGGCACCTTCGCACTGGTAATGCGGCTTGCTACACTTCACTAGTCTATGTGTAATTTAGGTTCGATTTTTGATTATAGTTCATCGTTTAATACATATAACTAAACTGTTAAGCTATTTATATCAACAAACAATTACAACAACTATTTCAACGCCAAATCTAAGACTATGTTTACATGTTTACAACTTAATCTATGTAAGTACTTTATTTACCAATAATATCAAAAAGATCCATAATAATATCCTTATTTTTTTTCCAGGTTACCACAGCTTGCCGTCTCTGCGAAGATATTGTGCCTCCTGATGGTAAGTCTACAAATAAATATTATTACAGAATCAAATAATAACAAGACTAGTTTCCGATACCCTAGTATTAGTTTTTAGAAAATAATACTTGTAGTTAAATTTCTTAAATTGAAATAAAAAAGGTAAACAGGTTTCTTTAAGAAGTTTTCCTTTTATAATAAAAAAATGTGATAAAAGATTTCAGATGTGTCGGCGGGGATCGAATTCGGTTTCTTTGCGGACTATGAAATTTAAGGAAAACGCGTAGCCTCGGAGCTACCAGAGCTATCTACAAATTAAATTTACATAATAGTAAAAAGATCACTTAACCGATGTAAATGGATTAATGAATCCAATAATTGCAGCCGCTATCATACCATTCGCATTAGCCGGGTTTGATAGAACTGTCTGCGGCCGATATGCTTGTAGGACTTGTGATAATATATTTTTATACTGAATTATTCTGAATACAGTTATATACTTTTATCGAGAGGATTCTCATTTTGTACATCACTTAATCTTTTATAAAATGGTCAGAATAACTTATAATTATAACTTTGTTACTTATCTTATAACAACAAATAAATATAGTCTGTAAACAGGCGTAAAGCGGTTGCTTTTGTTCGAAGTAAAAGTTATTTTTTATTAACAAACGACATTTTATAAATACATTCTGACCTTATAAATGCTTCAGTTGCATGAAATATAAAAGGCAAATACTTTTCATTAACAGCCAAGAACATAAAACTTTATTATTTATAAGAATTTATTACTTTTAGTAATCAAAGTCACAGTCGAAATATTTTTAATCGGCTTAATCTACAGCAAAACAAAATCTCCTTAGAGAAGAAATGGTAACTGACTCGGAGGTTTTTTTAATCTTACATATTATATAGTCCGAGATCCCAGGGCCTCTAGACGTCACTTATTTTCTGACGAACAAAATGTGTAGGATTGAGTAGTGTTAGTATGTAGTATGATCGCATGACTACCTGCTAGCTTGGCCAATGGACCATTTTCCATTTATCACGTAATCAAGGTATGTAAAAACATTACTCACCTCAAGTTAATTCTCCCAACTGATTTTTACGTATATGTTAGATAATATCGTTAAAAATCAGTCATCAATACTCCCAGACACGTTCTTTCGGCAGTATCGCTTTGCAGACGCTTTAAAGCTCTCAAAAGAATATAGGGTAAGAGTGACATTACCCATGCCCAGTACATGCTGCGTACGAGTATATACTTAGCGTAGACAAGAGTAAACTGTAAGAGAGAGAGAGAGAGAGAGAATACATATCAGTCACGCTCATGCGCGCGGATAATACCCTTGCGCTCATACCCACACAGGCGTTAAAATTGGGTCTAGGGGATGATTGTCCGCTTGGATCAGTCTACATTCTTGTAAAAATTTTTAAAATAGTTGTCTGCCTAACATATATAAAAATTGAGCTTCAGAATGTAAGTGAAATTTAGTAATGTTTTGAGTATATAGTTATAGTTTTGAATAATACGGACAGACAGACAGACCGACAAAATCTTTAAAAATTGTATATTTGTTATTAGTACCGTATATACTTTCATATGCATTTAGTAAAAAGCTGTAATTTTGACATTACAAACAGACACTTTAATTTTATTTATTTGTATAGATAATATTAATTTGTTTGTTCTAAACTACGTAGTACTATTATTTATTCTGTGTCTAAACTTACAATAATAATACAAGATTTTAATTATTCAGCACTGCATCATCAATGAATGTTGCACGCTGAAAGAATAGATCATTAATAAAATAATTTATTTTTAAATTTTTATCTTTTGCTCTTAAAAATTTTGTCATTTTTTTTTAGTTTTATTAAAATTGCTATTTTTAACTTTTGTTTTATATAATTTACGATAATGATTGCTGTGGTCTCCCATAATTTATAGAGCACGCTAGTTTTAATTTTTATCCTAATTTTTAATTGATATAATACTGTGTATATTTATTGGAGGTCCTTAATAAATAAATAATTTAAAAAATCAAAGACCAAAATCTCGAAATTATATATTTTGAAATAAGGAAGTCGTCGTTTTTACGCGGACGCAGTGAATCGAGCTGGTGAAGAAAAGTTCGAAGTTAATATGCGGTTGTTCAAACGACAGTCTTTAGCGATCAACACCTATCATTTGCCGTGATTACGCACGCGAACACTACACGCTATGAGATGAAGAAATTTAGCTTTATTAAATCGTGTAGTCGAGAGTTTTCATTATTTAATCCAGCAGTAATAGCATCGTCTTGTGTGGCCACCTTCGTTTAGTTAACCGCTGTATATGTGTATATTATTATTATTATTATTATAAAAATGAACATTAATGTGCGACTTTTAATATAAATAATATTTTTGTATAAATTAGGTTTCAATCTGAATCGTCACACAAAGTAATTTTATATGAAATGAATTTGAAATGTTAATCTGAAATTCTGTATTTTGTTTGTCTTTTAATTTGATAAATAAGTTTTAAATTAAAAAAAAAAACGTTTTGTTTGGTTTTTGACATTCATGTCTTCATTGTCTGACGTCAAATTAACACAATATTTTTAATTGATTTCCAATCATTTCAAAATAATATAAATTATATTATTAACGTTTTAATATTCTTTCATTAAAATATTATGCAAGCCAAATAGCTAACGTTCGGATAGCCGACCAGGCGGAAGCGCTCTCCGATACCGCAATGGAAAAAAAAAGAATAATTTGTAACCATGGCAATTTTAATTAACAAGGAAATCATATCTTGCATATAGGCCTTAGATGTACATAAGTCCTCTTATATATCACCCGTAATTTTATTATTTTAGGACGGTGTTGAAAGAAATCTGTTTGCCGCAGCCAAGTTGTTTTCCGTTATTTGCCGTGCAAACACTTATTACGTACAAATAATCTTTATCCAGGCCAGTGTTATGTTGTACATACCTACCACATATTAAACTTTACGTGACATTAATCTCTAAACATATTTCTAGGCACCTCAACGTTTCAGATGTACTAGTGACACATTGAACGGTTTTTTTTTATTGTCACTTAACATGTTAAAACAGTTAACACCTCAATAACATGTTCTCCGTAAATCCATACGTGTTATTTAGAAGTCTTATTTTGTATTTTGGTATTTATGTGGAATGACCTTTAATTCTAAATCCTCCGTTTACATTGCCAATACTGGCACTAAATTACAATTTGAGGTATTTTGATATTCAATAATGAACCGCTTGCTGGCAATAAAAAATATAAATACTGGTTCAGATTTTCGAATGTTTTCATGTCCTTATCTATACTTACATTCTGCAAAGGTTTTATTATGTTCAATTAGGTCGATTACTGAAAAGACGGTGAAGGAGAATCGAGTTAACGTGAACTATGTTACATGTGTATCTTCGACAGGTTATATGATTAGAAATACTGCGCACTTTTCAATATAATCTGAGTTGTAAGTGCTGGTTTCAAGTATGTGGGTCAAGTGGTTTGTCATAATAACAATTAACATTGCTTCCTTGTATATTTATTTGCGAATTATTTGTGCATTAATAAAATGTAAATGTTTTTAAACATAATAAATTTTAAGATTTGAATGACAACAAATCAGTTCATTTATTGCACGGTGTATAGGATCTTCACATTTTTATATTTTTTTTTTCAGTATTTTAATTCCCTAAGAACTATGCTATGTACAAATCGATTTTCCGATTTACTTTTAAAATTTATAGGTATTATTGTGCACGATGCTAAAGTGTAATATATAAAAATGTATAAGTAAAATAAAGTTGGATGTAAGTACTTGTATAGATTAAAAAACAAGTTTTCATTATCTCTCGAACACATTTGTGATGTCTCATTTATCTGAAGCGTGTGTGGCTGGCCTAATCCAACGAAAAAGGTAGACTTCAGATAACATTCTGATATTTCATAGTGAGGATCTCACGGCCGTTTAGTAACAAAATTAGGCTATCGCTAGTTCCTATATCGATATCACTATAGAACTTGAGAGCGATATGCCATTTCTAATAAAGAAAAAAGATGTAGCCGATGCAACTGTATCATATCGATTACGTGCAGAGCAATGATGTTATGCTTCCAGTTTTGTAAACATTTTCATTGAATTTATTTGTTTACAATTTCAGACCACAAAACGTATATAATGTTCTCATTAATTCGTTCTACAATCCAATTTTTCTTATTATATGGCCGGAACTTATTCAGGATCTAAACAGACGTATTGTTACATTGTTGTTTGTTCTTCACGTGGTTTTTTTTGGCTTTCGTATTTTCTCTTACGATTAGATTCATTACGGGAAACCTTTGTTCGTGTTAAATATTATAGGTAAGTGATTTTCTTGCATCCTTTAAATATAAGACTTATAAACGTAATAAGTTTGGTCGGTTAAAGGTTGTTTCAAGAAACTTTGACGCTTAGGGATGGCAAAATTGTTTAAACTTGACATTTAATTGTTACAATTATAATGATAGAATTAATTTAATAGATATAAATAATTTAATTAAGAAATTTTTGACTAGAGATAGGTATTACCTATCAAAATATAATTTAAGACAGATAGCAAATGTGCTATCTTATTATTTATATATTAACTCAGCCAAGGACTTGGCTACACAAACATCTGCTTCTTTTGAGCAGTGTAATGACTTAATATGCAATTTGGAATCAGTTCCAAGTAATTTAAATTAGAAAATGAGACAATAGAGGTAATCTCTAGCAGTTATAATAACTTAAATAATTTAGAATGTGGCTTACAAATCTTTAATTGTATGACTCCACAGAAAGATAATGAAAATTGTTTACACCTGGTGCATCAAAATATACAAGGCATGATAGGCAAAGAGCTAGAAATTGAGTTGTTCTTAAATAGCAACAATATTCATATCTTATGTATTACTGAACATTGGTTAAAAGCTTATAATTTAATGTTTAACTTCAGTAATCACCAGGTGGTCAGTTCTTTCAATAGAGATACGGTT